AGGGTGCAACCCAACTTCTCGATCGGGAATATCGAATTTCGCAATGAATGAACTTCTTGCTAAGATAATAGATATCATGTTCTTTTCTTCCGATCTCATCATGTTATGACAACACACACCCCATTGAAATTTCTAAGATCGTTAGGTACAAAACCAATGGTTTTCCTGGAATTGTGGGTACTAGAACTGGTGCGCTTGATAAGTAGTGCTTGACTTTATCAAAAACTTCTTGGCAACTGTCATCCCAAATTCTTGGATTTTGTTTTCTTGACAGACGAAAGATTGGATCACACTTTTCTGTTAACTCTTGAACTCTTGAGAGCGAGGTCCTAACTTATTTCTATTGAGAGCGAGGTACCAATCTTGACATCCTTCTTGTCTTGATCAGTCCCCATATTCACTATCTCATTGAACTCTTGATGAGGTAAAATCTGTTTATTTTCTTATTCAATCAATCTACCAAGTTCATGGTTTAACTCACATTCCTCATCATCTTTATAATCCCCATATTCTTTTAGACACATATCATTTTCCAAATCAACATTTGGTTTAGAAATATCATTATTCGAGCAATTGATATCTAGAGACATGCGAATGGAAAAGAATGTGTTCAGGCAACGGACAAGAATCTTTCTTATATATTTACTTATAAATTAATAATAATGCAATAAAGAAATAAAATGTTTCCCATGAAGAGGATAAAGAAATGCACCATTTCATTAAAGTAATGACAAATAATAGTTTTTTCTTTTAAAAAAACCCTATTTGATTTGGGTTACAAAAAATAACATGATTTTTATTATGCATTACTTTTAAACAAGCTTGTAGAATATATGTAGTTCTTCGACATTATAGTGGTCTAGAATGTATCCAGGAGGGTAAGGCTGAATCGAAGTTTGCGAGCATTCAACAGTGGACTCATAAGTGATAGCATTGATGATCAAGTTTTCCATTGCAGCTTCAACTTCCATAGCTTTTTTTTCCAACCAACATGTTCTCAAGTGTATCAATCATGAAACTCTGGATGAAAAGGTCTGAGTGATGTGTGGTATAACCATAGGCTCCCAAGTGATATCATGAGCACCCTCCCTTGCCTTCCTTATTTCCCTGAGCTAATAGGCATCTTTAATCCTATCCTGATGAGTGGGTTTGTACCCAATTCCAAAGCTATTTCTTTTGAGCACCAGAGCCAGAACCTTAATGATTCATTGTAATCCTTTTCCAAAACCATTCCCAACCTGAGCTCCTCGAGCTATGGTTTCCTTTAGTTGCATTATAGTACTCTTTGACATTCTTGGAGAGGGAGTAATTTTTCCCTCAAATAAAAAAGTAGCATTCACAAATTCTTAAAACTGGAATGAAGACTCCAGTGCATCCTTCTTTAGCTTTACATATAGTGCTTCAGTGGTGACAGACGCTATAGTTTCTTCTTCATCCTTGACAGTCACCTCCTTCAGAAATGAATCACAACTTTTGATGTAATAAATAAGGAAATGCCCCAGCCATATGTATCCATGGCCTTCCCAACAGACAGTTATAACTTGGATAGATGTCCATGACCACAAACTCTACCTTAAAGATAGTTGGTATGATACAGAGGGGAATTGTGATTGTACCCATAATATTTCTCTCAGTATAATTAAATGCACGAATAGTGTTACCACATACTTTCATGTATGCCGTCTTAGCATTGAGTCTATTCAACGTCGCCCATGGCATCACATTCAAACCTGACCCATTATCTTTTAATACCCTAGGCAAAATAACCCCTTTGCAGTGAACAATTATGTGCAATGCCTTACATCTACATTTTCCTTCATATGGTATCTCCTCGTCATAAAAGTAGATGAAGTTATCGACGTTGATGTGATTCATCTACTTTATTTTATTTTCTATGAACTAAAGGATGACACATGATTCATAAAAATAAATATATTATATTAAAATAAAGTTAATCTTTCAACTGAATGGTAACACGTAGCATTAAAGGTGAGCAAAATTCAAATCGACTCGAATAATTAATTTTTTCGACTCGACTCTTGAAAACTTGACTCAAATTAACTTCGAATTGTAATTTTATAAGCTCGACTCGAAAAAATATAAAATTTAAAATAATTTGTAAAATACAACTCGAATAACTCAAAAAATTTAGTAATTAATAGATTAATTTTCAAAAATGAGTCAGAGTCCATCTACTATGTATCATAAATGTGTATCGCATATAAAAAAAATTAAGAAATGTACATGTATTATATATGATTATAAAAGATTATTTAAATTGGAATTAAATAAAATCATAATATTATAATTAAATTTTAAAAAAACACAAAAATTTAACTCAGTTCGACTCTAAAAAATTTCAAGTCAACTTAAGTTGTAAAATAAAATTCGTCAATTTGAATAACTCATAATTTTTTCTGACTTGATTCAACTTTACTTGATCGAACACTCACCTATACGTAACATGATTATAACATCATTCGATTATATGATTAATTTTTTTATTTTTATAAATATAAGACTATATTAAAAGAATATTTAAATCAGATAATAAATTTATGATTATATAAAAATATTTAAATATCATTAATGACGATTAACTTGTGATAATCACATCTTAATTAAATAAAAAAGTTCACATATAACGTTTCAATATCAATTATTACAAGTGGACGATATATAAACTAAATAATTTTTCACGTAGTTAACCCAATATTCTTTCGCATGTCCTCATATTTCTATGAAAAAGTAACTGTAGACATTAATTTTTCTATTTTAAAATTATTATTATTATTATTATTATTATTATAATTATTCTTATAAATATTATTATTATTATTATTATTAAAATATATTACAGGCCCATTTATAAAGTCATAGAGGCCCAACAGAAGCCCAACCCAGTCCAAAAAACTCGAACTGGCCCAAATGTATAACCCTAAACCTAATTAGGGTTTGTATCTCAGTACCCAACCGCCATCCATATCAGCCGTTGGATCTGGAGAGATCCAACGGCCACAAACGAACCAGAAGAAACCCTAGGATTATGATACCTTAGAGGTCACGCGGCCGCCGCCGCCGCTGCCACTGCCAGGTGCCTCAGCCACTTTTACCACCCTCGTCGAAGCCTCCAGAAGACCCAGATGGCCACCCAATATTCGTTGAAGCCTCCAAACCTGCGAAAGAGAAAAAACCACGAACAGACAGTGACAAAGAAAGAACATGGGGAAACCGAGAAGACACAACAGCAAGAACAGAAGGCAAGAACTAAGAACACAGCAAGCAATACAACTCACAACAGCCAAATATCAAACCAAAAAAAAAATAAAAGGTGAGAAGCTTATCGAAGGCTGCACGGACTAGAGCTCCCACGTACCTCCACATGCCGCCGAGATAGTCGAAATACCGAAGGTATTTATGTAGATCTAGGAAATTTTGGGACTGTTTAAGGGAAACGGACACCGAAATTGGCTTTAGGGTGTTCCGATCTATATTTAAGGGTATTTTGTAATTTTTCGGCCACCGACGACGGTGATCGACGTCGAAAATGGTGGCCGATTTTCTCCTCCGATGAGAGAAAATGAAAGCTTCTCTCTTTTTAGAGTGAGAAGAAAAACCAAAGAATAGGAGAAAATGGCCTTAGGGCCAATTTAAACTGGTATATATACACTCATCAAAACGACGCCGTTTTGGTAAGGGGTGTCTCTGTAATTTCCCTTTTGGGAAAACCATTTCCGCCAACCTTCAGGTTTAGTAAACCTCCATTTTAGTCACTAAAATTGACATTTATGTCTCTTAATTCAGTATTTCAATTTTGTTTTTATTATAATTTAGTCTCTGCCATGTTTATATATATATATTAGGGTAAATATCATAATTAATCCTTTTAATTTTAATATTTTTTATTTTAGTTCCGTATTGTTATTATGGTTAAATTACATTGTTAATTATTATATTTTATAATATTTTGAATTGGGGCCTTTAACTTCGATATTTTATATTTTAATCACTGATTTTTTAATTACTTTCATTTTTAACCATGAATATATTATATTTTACAATTTAATTCCATAGTTTTAATTTCTTTTATTTTAGTCATTATTTAATGCAATTTTATTATTGTCATTTATTTTTCAATATTTTTAAATTAGTATTTTAATTAATTAATTATTTTTTATTATTTATGTTTTATTCACTAATATTTATATGAAATATAATTTGAATAATTTCATAATTTAATTAAATAAAAATATTTATTTATTTTTTAATATTAAGAAATGAGCTGTCTTAAAATAACTAGATATCATTTTCTGATATTTTTAAATAAATAAAATATTATATTTAATTTATTTTTATTTTAATTATTTTTAAAGGAAAAATTATCATATTTATTTATTTGTTAATATTAAAGAAAATGATTGTTTTAAAGCAACTAAATATCATTTTCTGATATTTTTAAATAAATAAATACACTATTTATAAAACCGTAAAATATATATATATTTACTCATTTACTTTAGTTTTATAAAAATTATTTTAATATTTTTTTAGAATTATCCGATCGAATTAGAAATAAGAGGATCATAAATTAAATTTATGTTTGAATTCTTAAATTCTATTATTAAAGACAATTCATAATCGACAGAGACCAATTTTGGGCGTTGTGGGGTGCTGATCATTCCCCAAACGTAACCGTTCACGAACTCTTTTTATTATTAAAAAGAACAAATTTTTAGTTAAACACATACCGGTTTATCTTTTAACTAATTTTTTTTTAAAAACTCTTTTAAAAAATGATTTTTAGGTAATCGACCTACCTAACTCAAAAGATTCGATTGCGACTCCCTAAACATTTCAATAAAGATCATTTATTCATTCACATTACTTTTTCCGTCAAAAAATATTCGTGTCCGGGCGAAAACCGATTACGACAATAACCGAAACTTAAAAGACGACACCCAGTATTTCAAGGTATCAGTTTTTTTTTTCATGGACCCGTTTTCCCTACATTTTCGAATTGAAAATAAAAAATAAAAAATAAAAAATAGGGATAGTTCGAGTTTACCTGGGATGGCGGTTTCGTCATCCGAATGGAGAGCGACACCGCTTCACGGCTTCGAGTGGTGACCATGGGCTATGAAGGGGTAGATCGGGAGATTTGTTGGAGTTTATGAAAAGGAAAGTGAGCTCTTTATTTTATTTGGGTGTTACCTGGTGAGATTTGGGAGCGATCGGAGTGAAGAGTTGTTGTCGAGTGGTGGCCGGCGTAGCAGCAAAGGTGAACGGCGATTAAGTAGAGCTCGTGGTGTTTCCCGATAATGCCGCCGCATGTCAGATAAGGAATGAGTTAGAGAATGAAATTCGAAGGCTGAGTTTAGGGTTAGATGTCAGATAACAAAAGAAAATTTCTTAGTTAAGGAAACACGTTTGTTTTCAATTGAGGAGTTAATCACTGCATAGGTCATCCTAAGATTTCAATATTTTACAATTTGGTCATGAGTTTGCATTTTTGTTTATCTATTTCCGAATTATTGTCCTAATAGCTAGGGGTGTGCAAAAAAACCTAATTCGACCGATTCGATCTGTTGATATGATGATCCGATCCGAAAATTCGGATATCCGATCCGTTTTTCAATTTTTGGATAGTTTGGATCGGGTATCCAATTTTTTTTTCGGATTATCGGATCGGATACGGATCGAAAATATATCAATTTCGGATTATCTGAAAACCCGAATTTTTGTTGTTGCTATTTTCTATAATTCGAAACAGAAGTCACTGAGAGAAGTGCTTCGATTACCAAGTGAAGAAGAAGACCGAGGAGAGAGTGAGAAGAAAATGAAAGGTTGGTTCTTTTTCTTGTTATTTTTTATAGTAATTTTAGTTCAGATTTGTAGTTATTGACCAAAAACTGAGCTACTCTTTTCATATATTTCGTTTCCTTTTTAATTTTTTTATCACTCTAGATCAAGAATGTTTGATTTGGTTTTAAGTTTGTAGGAAAATGTAAGAAAATAGTTGAAAATCATAACTTTAAGACTTAGGTTTCTTCTTAGTTTTTGTTCACCTAATTTGTGAATTTTCTGAGGAACGAGTGTGATTTCTGGTTTATTGTATTTTTCTCAGGTTTTCTGGGGTTTTTCCTTATGTTCTTATGTACTTTTTAGTTAGATGGCTTATATTGTTATGTGTTTTACATGTAAATGATGGGTAGAAATCTTAGCCCGATATTACGGAGTGAATTGGCAAATCTTGATAAAGATGCTGATAGTCGAAAATCAACAATGAATGCACTGAAATCATATGTGAGAGACTAGGATTCGAAGGCGATACCGGTCTTCCTTGCTCAAGTTTCGGAGACAAAAGAAACCGGGTTAGTGTCGGGCGAATACACTATTTCACTATATAAATTCTTGCTCGTGTTCATGGTGTGAAGATTGCTCCTCAAATTGATAGTATAATGTCCACCATTATCAAGACATTAGCTTCGAGTGCAGGCTCTTTTCCTCTACATCAAGCCTTTTCGAAGGTGGTTCCTACAATTGCAAGATATGGAATTGATCCAACCACTCCGGAGGATAAGAAGAGGCATATCATCCACTCACTTTGTAAGCCTCTGTCGGATCAGATACAATACTAGTTATTTGCCCCAAAAAAAAAATCGGATCGGATCCAAATATTTTGGATATCCGTTTCGAAATTTCGGATATCCGATTTTTTTCGGATCGAATACGGATCATTACTTTAGGTATCTGAAATTTTTAGATATCCGATATCCGATAATGGACACCCCTATTAGTAGCGCACTTTGTCCGTTGTTTTGTTTTTTTAGAGTAATTGTGTCTACTTATGGGCTATTCGCTCTTTAATTCTTGAACATTTACCGTGTATTCATAATTTAGTCATTAGACCTGCATTTTTTAATTTATTTCGATTTTACCTTGATGTTTATATTTATTGCAATTTAATTACTATTATGAAATTGGTGTACATAGTTTAAATTAATCCCTAAATTATTATGTAAGTTTTAATTTAATCCTTAGATTAATATTTTGGTTAATTAGCCCTAAAACTATTTTGTTAATAATTTTATTTGGCAATTTGTAATAATTAATTAGTCTTTAAAGTCAATTTCGTATTGTTGTAATATATATTTTATTTGTTTTTTTATGCATGTTTTTTTTTTGTAGTACATTAAATCTTATGATAGATCCTTTAAATTCAACTCTCTTCAATTTAGTTCATAGTTAGAGCCCTAGTTTAAATTTAAACCTTTAGATTTAGATTTCTCAAACCTTAATCCTTTAATTTAGGGAGTAATCGGAATTGGCTTTCGCATTTAACATCTTTGAAGGACAATTCCGATTATTCAACTCAATAAATGGTTAAAATTAGTGATGATGGGCAATAATGGTGATTTGATGATTTGATGATGATGCTGATGCTAATAAAGATGAAGGATAAATGTACTACGAACCCTTCTAATCGTAATTGACTAGGCAAACTCGATAATCGACTCTAACAAACCCTCTTACTTACAATGAAGAGGCAAACCATAGTTTGAAGATCTCTCTCACAAAGAACTTGAAAAAACTTAATGAAAAGAAGCTTCGAAGGTACAAGACAATCAACATTTACAAAAATGAACTCTGGTTATATAATTAATCAAAGAAATCTGATATACAATGATGAATGAAGCCTCCTTCATATAGGAGACGGGTTCTAAAAGTCTGAAGCAACTAGAGAATAAAATAGTAATAAATTTAACATATTTTAATTCTAATTCCTGGTTAAATAATAATAAATTAAGAATAATATTTAACTCAATATTAATTCCTAATAAAATAATAAATCTAATCCTAAAAGATAATGCATCATCCTGAATTAAATTATATTAAAAATAATCAATAAAAATATTGAAAATTCGTAATATTTACAAAATCTCGCATTAAAATTGTATAGGAATTTCTACATGCTATGTCTTCACTAAAATGAGTGTATCTTGAATTTTCGATATCAGATTGATGCGATTCAAGAACTGTTGGAAAGATAACAGATAGTCAATCATATATCCAAAAGATTTGTTGACCAAATAACACCAGAATCCCATTTGAAAAGTTGTCGCAATTCTACTGATGTTTTGGTCTTATTTTCCAAGGCTTGGTTGTGCCGATCAATTGGAAGCTTTAGTCCATTTTCTTTTTAAGTGAGCCTTGTGATGCATGTATTACCAACCTTAGTAGAATGTGGCCACACCTTATTGCAATCAGTGATATGTCCCAAAATAAAATTTGTGAGAATCAAAATCAGTATACAGATTTCAGTAAAATGTGGTCATGCCTTGTTCGAAATAGGTATCTGCAAAAAAAAAACTAAAAAATAAGTAAATATAAAATAAAATAAACCAAAAGAAAAGAGAAAGTAAAGCAATAAAAGTTGGGTTGCCTCCCAATAGCGCAATTGTTTAATTTCTCTATGGTGGACATGGTTACAGCGAGTTGTTCAATCATTGATATAAGTTGGTAGCTCAAATGAGGATCAGCGAGATATGAGACAATTTCACCTTTGTGGAATATTTTTAATCTATGACTATTCAACTTAAAGGTTTTGTCTGAGTCCGAGCTTTTAATTTCCACTATTCTATGAGGAAATACATTAGGAACTATAAATGGACAAAGCCAAAGAGAACGAAGCTTGCCTAGCATAAACTTAAATCAGGTGTCATATAATAACACCTTTTGACCTATCTCAAAATGTTTCTCAATAAGCATGATATCATGAAACAATTTGGATTTTTCCTTCTAGATCCTTAAGTTCTCACAAATATTTAAATGAAGCTTCTCTAATTCTTACTATTGTAGTACCCTTGAGATTCCAGCTTTGTTTAGGTCCATCTCAAATCGTTGAACCACCGATAGGATTTATGCTCCTTTAAGATTTGAATCAAGATCTCCTCCTGTTTAGTTGTTAGTCCTTTTTCGATTATTATCGGCAATGTCTCATATTCACCCAAATATATGCATTTTAGGTGGTCAGGTAGGTATTTCAATTCTATCTTTGGGCCTATAGAGTAGAAGAAAGCATTTTTTAGCATCTAAATTTACTTGTTCAAGAGATGGTACTGAAAACACTTTTTCGAAGTTAGTCTCATTGTCTTCAAGGTAAACTTGTGCACATAATCGCAACTCTATTCAATCTCTTTTTCAGAGAAGGTATATTGCACAACTGAATTAACCATATTAACTTGACAAGGAGATTTCACATCATTAGGACATTTCATTGCAATATGAATATTAAATTTCACAAGCTCTTCTACAAACTCCATGAATAAAGTACCCTCATATACATTGATCTTCGTCTTTGATGTCTTCATGAATGGTATTTCTAACAAAATCAAAGGTTATTACGAAGATAAATTACCTTATATTCCCAAGATACAAAAATCTACAGGAAAAATCAGCTCATCAACCTATACCAAAACATCCTCAACAACTCCAAATGTGTGATAATAGGAACCATTGACTAATTAAACTACCACATTAGTTCTTTGTAGGCCATTTAATCTTAAGTCTCAAAAAATAGAATATGTCATGACATTTATTGATGCGATCCTACCCTTTCACCTATTCATCTTCTTCTTGCTTTCCTCTTATGTTGATAAGAAGAAGGACCAGGGAACATTTACTCACCTCTCACATCTTTCCATTTACTTTACATATCATTACTTTGCATATACTTTATGTTATGTTGCATATACCATGTTCATTCTACATTACTATGCCAATCATTCATGTTATGTTATGTTAAGTATGATGATCAGATGCCTTATGTTTCATACCATGCATAGTATGTATTTCCTTATCATATACTTAGTTTATTTCATGCATTATATGTTAAGCATAGTTATGACATTTTATAGTATTTATACTATGTTCATCGTTTACTTTGCTTAGCATAATGCATTCATACACATCTTTACTTAGCTTATGTTATGTTCATGCATCATTTCTTAGCTCATTATAATTATATGCATTCATATCTAGCTCATTCTTAGCTCATACATTAGCGCATAATCTTCGTCTTCAAAAGTCACGTCCATATTCATCAGATCATTCACCAACTGATTAAAGCTAGTAATGTGATCATTCATAGTGGTACTTGGTACATAGTTGAAGCGGAACAATCTCTTTGACTCTCTTTTCAAAGTCCTTTGTTCTTTAGCCAGGGACTTATAGCAGCTGGAGGTAGCTGGAGTGAAATTAGGTGCCTAGCTAAGCTACCTACATCATCTAGATAGCTACATGACCTTCTAGCTAGCTTACAACCCTAACTAGCTACATATGTCACTACCTAAGCATCTAACTACTTCAATCATGCAACCTATGGTCGAGACCATTTGCATTCAAAACATCATGTGCACTCTATATGACATCAAATAGGCGTCAAACACCAAGGGATGCTTCCTATTCGGCCATAAGCTCTTTCTTCTTTAATTTTGGTGCTAAGGAACATCAAAATGCATCCAAAACACTCCATTGGCTGAACCAACACCTAACCATTCGGCCTAATGCATGATTCTTCATTAAAAAATCATTAATTTTCATAAAGAACATGTATTTTCAAGGAGATTTCACACTTGGACGAATTGGTGCATTGATTTAGGCCTAAGAACATCATTCTTCATTAAGTCATCATGTATTTACCAAAGGATTCATCGTAGTAGAATCATTTTGTAACTATTCGACCCTTCCCTTTGGTTTTCTATAAATTGCCAATGCCTTAGCATTTGTAAGGCATTTCTCTTGACATATCAAATAAAATTTGGAGGTTATCCCTATTTTTTATGTTTTTAGAACTTTTTTCGACTAATCAAGTACTTAGGCTCTTGTGGCATCCACCCGCCTCTTTCACATATACTTGTCATTTTGGTTTAATATATCAAAGGGGTCAAATTCCTTTGCTACCACCCCTTGTTCAACTTATAAGGTTTGGTGTTAGGGTAAGCCTAGTTTCTTCCTTAGTTGTCTAAGATACTATCCACCCTTATCCATTTCATTCATAAGCCCATCACCACGTACCAAATACTTTCACAACCCACTATTTATCCCTACCATCAACTACCAAGCCTTCTATTTGAGTCTATATTCTTGCAAGTATTTGCTCGTTCACTAGATCCACAATCAATAGGTAGTTTACCCTACATCATTTATTGAAGCTCTAAGTTTAACATAGCATGATCAATCCTTTTATCGCCAATAATGAAAAGTAAAGAAAACATACCTGGATCCCTGTATTTTTCTGGCATATTCTTTTGCAAGATGGTCGAAACATTCTTACTTACATGAACTCCCTCCTTTTCTTTTTGTTTATTGGTTCACAATTCTTTCAAAAATCTTGCATACATAGGAATTTAATTGATGGATCTACCAATGGATTATTAATCTCAACCTTCCTTAATGTATACAATATATCATTATGCTCTTCTTCCTTTGGTTTACATAACATGTTAGGAAACGGATGTAGAAGAGTGTAAGATGAAAAAGATAATGAAGGATCGAATGTTACATTTGGTGAAACATTAGACTGAGTTTTGATTTTCTCATCGTCGCTCCTCTCGTCTCTTTTAGGTGGAATCAATCCTGAAGGAA